GTGGGTGGGTGCGTGCGTGGGGCACACTTTAGGGGAACTTTTACACTTGGAAGCATTTTAAGACGACTTGTGTAATTCATTCAGTCATTTAATCCTTCTTTATTTTATTCTTTTATCGTTCTATCATTTTTCTATTTTACTGTTTTCTATTTTTTACTTTTCTTCGTCTTTTTTTCTCTCCGAGGGCATATTTAGATGTTGGGCTGCCTGTGTTACCAAGTACCACTGTCTAGTGTAGGGGTGGGGTAAGTGGGAAAATTGAAATCCTAGAAAATCTCAACATATATAGGAGTAGTTTGTTAGTATTCCTCGTCGGAAGCAAAACCTTTCTTCGTTTAGATTAGTAAAAGAGAAAAACTGAGGTCAAAATTTAAAATCAGCAATTACGTGACAATAATTCGTGAATAATTCAAAGACCTCTCCCCTCCCCCTAGCAGTCCAATCACTTTGGTACACAACTTAGCTGAATAGAGAAGAAGTCTTTCATCTTCGTGAATTTTTAGCCACGAAAATGCCTGCAAGAAACGTCCATGCTTGGTATAAACTAGCCTTCAAGCTGCTGGTTAGCGATCAATGGCATGTGATATCCGAAAAAGTCGAAAATGGCGACCTGTGTTACAGATGGGTTAAGGAGCAACTAATGGCTGCTCTGCATGACGTGGAAAAAAATGCATGGCAGAAACCGCTTGGTAATGCAGCATTTACCTTTCGTGAACAACTGGTTGGTATGAGAAGTCCTAGTCTAAGCGAGGAGACGTATCTTAAAGCTCAACATTGGCTTGGATTACAAAATGGAATGACTGCACTGCGCGATGAAAGTACTCCTGTTCGTCACAGACTTGGTGGAGCGAAGCTGGCTTTATTAGAGGGAACTTTTGTTCACTTTGACAAGCCAGAAGGCGCTGGTTCAGCCATTTGTGATGTATTTACAAACCTGTGCCAGATAGACCCAGTAGTGGAAGCCATTTACGAGAATAAAGATGCTCAATTGGCAGCAGAAGTGAAGATCATGTTTGACTCTTCCAAGGAATATGCAGAGAGCATGAAATTGCCTATCGATGACTTGGTTGAGCTTGAATTTGATCCAAGTTGCCTGCCAACTGACCCACCTTCCTTGTTCAAGCCACCAGAGATCTGGGCGTTTGGAGACATCGGCAATGAAGATGGTTTTCTCAGCGATCCTGACAAAATTCAAATTGATAAAGAAGGGAATTTTCTGGTAATGGATCAAGACTTGACTGRTGTAAACGTAGAAACGGTTCAGAGGATCCAGCTTTTTAACCCTCTGGGGAAATTTATCAAAGTCATCTTGAAAAGAGGAGAAGGCAAAGTAAATGGTATGAAGGATTTCTGTCTAAATAAGGATGGCAATCTGGTCGTCGTGGATACAGATGATAACGACAAGACTCGGCTCCAGGTCTTTGATTATGATGGCAATCAGATGATGGTGATTGACGTTGACAAAGACAACCCAGACAGTGTTGCAGCAATCAGATTTGTTTATGTTGATGATGATGGCAACATGATTTGTGGAGACATAGGTGATTCATGCATCCGTATTTACGGACCAGATGGTACTCTAAAGTCAAAGTTTGGACAATGGGGTATGGGTGAAGGACAGTTCTTGAATATTGGCTCAGTCACAGCTCAAGGGGGCAAGATCTATGTTTTTGACAATGGTGTTGACAAAATCGAAACCGTGGTTTTTGACTACGATGGAAAATTTCTATCCAAGTTTGATTCAGGCATAAAGCATTGGCAGTTAGTGTTTGATGAGAGAAACCAGCATTTCTATGCTGTCCAGGATGATCATACCATCGAAATCCTGGCGCTGAATGGAACAAGCAAGGGCAAGACTGGAAGTTTTGGATATGACTTGAAAGATTTCTGGTTTCCATCCAGTGTGGCAATACTAGAGGATGGAAGAATTGCAGTTGCAGACAGGAGCAATAACAGAATTAAAGTGTTTAAATTCTGAGGTATGCACATAATAAGTAAGAGGTAATTACCGAGAATGGAGGCAAAAAGCCATATGCATCCTGAGGGCCACAGGCCAAAGGGATGTATAGGCTTATTGTCGACGTTTGAGGTAATCAAGTATTTTATTTATCAATTGAGAAGGTTTTCTATCAAATGTTGCTCATTATAAATGAGAAGTCTATATAGAGGATATTACATGGGCGCGCGGAGATACGAAATTTATCTTCGAGTGTTGAAAAGATCTCTCACAAGTGAGCGCAGCGAACGAGTGAGAGATTTTCAACACGAGAAGATAAATTTCGTATCTCCAAGTGCCCATGTAATATTCTGTTTATCATATAATTATCAATGAAAGTGTGTTTTGGCTTTTTCAGGCAATTCTTTCCGTGTATTTTTGAATAGCCATCACAATGGTGTTATTTTCACACGTGAAAATAACATGTTATTTTCACGTGTGAAGATATCAATTTTTCGAAATAGAGAAAAATAGATATTTCATTGGTAATTATATAATAAATATAGTTATTAACCGGGTTAATAACTAACTATATATTGACCTCGCATTTATAATGAGGGTTATAACAAAAATAAAGCCTTGTGAATAACAAAGAAAACCGTGTCAATTGAGAAATAATTAAACATTATTTGCCAAAGGCAAATTTATTATCAGTAAATATCTACTGAGAAGAAGTAGATGTAAATACTCACCAATAATCACCAAGTCTGAGGCAAATAATTATTTTATTATGGTAATATTTTTGCATATTACAAACATTTTTTTTWATTTCTTATTTTTAGGTGCTTAACTATGGTATTTTCAAGATCTGGCAAAGCTTAACGATGAGACTACAACTACCAAGGCCACCTAAACAAGTTTTAAATCAACTTCACAAATCACATTTTTACCTTGAATAACAGGATGGGGATGAATTCTGGAGTTTAAACTGTTTCTTGTTCGCTCCTGATCATACACACACGTATAAAGTAAAATATATGTTTTTAAAGGGAAAAATAGAATAGTTTGTGCATATGCTATTATTTAGATACTCAATTGTGATTGCATGGCTAATTYTTTTATCTGGGTGGCCTTGGTTGGGGTAGTTGATTTGTGGCATGTTAAAAAAAATYATAAAATCAATGCACAAATAATTCGCACAGGATGCACAGTTTTAGAATCTGTCAAAATTAATTTAATTGTCTCAGAATGTTGAGAAATTTGTTATTGGGTATAATATTAGTGAGAATCAGGCTGTAGCAAAGCTGAATAAAAAATAAATAACTCAAAGGCTACTTGAACAAGAGGACCTCTGGCACTGCCCAGGGTTTAGCATATTATTGTATTGTGATTCCTATGATTCCCAGCTGTGTGCAAAACAATTCTTTAGAATTTAAAATTCTTGTTTAGCTTCTCATGCCTCCGGTAACTGATTAAACCTGCCCGAAGTGATCTAGGACCTCTGGAGGCAAGAGTAAAATAACAATGAGAAATTATCAATATTAATGACAGTTGTGCACAATTTGTAGGATTAAGAATCATTATCAAATAACTGTTGAATGTTGTATTCTGATTGGTTTGTAGCGCGTGCTTTATGAGAGCACATTGCACGCACGCACACTCTCCRTTGCATCATTCCTATCTATTATTGTAATTGGCATTTTATAAAAGAAATAAAAAACTTGCTTGCTGTGCTGTGTGCAGTCATAAAGCACTTGGGGGTTGGCAGAACACTCAAGAAGTGTCGAGAAGCACTCCGCTATGTGTCATGCTTCTCCTAACACTTCTCTCGTGTTCTGCCAACCCCTGCGTGCTTTATGACAGCACACAGCACAGCAAGCAAGTTTTCTATTTCTTCAATATATCAATAATTTTAGAATATCTGCAGTACTGCTTTATATAATAAATAAAATAAATCATTTAATTGACAAACTTAGCAGTACAAGTAAAATCAAGCTTTTAATTTTTTAAATTATTTTTTAAATAATACATTCAAAGGTGGCAACTTCTACAGCCCCACCTTTACCCTGTGTATCGCTCGGCCAGCCATATTCTATGCAGAAACTTCTGCCATTACTGTTTCTCTATTGACCCGAGCCGAAACAGCAAAAGAGTCTTAATCTTAATGTAGTCTCAATGTCTTATCCCTCCAATAAAAATTGTAACAAACTGTAAAATATGATTCACGATTACCTCTTTAAAATAGTCTGCCATTAAAAAATACTTGCTTAAAAAAAATTCCAAAAAAAAAAAATGTATTATCTAAATCGGGAATCGAACTCACGCCTACTTTTAGAAAATCGATAACTAATTCCAAAAAAACCTGCACCTACCACATGCCATACCCCCGAGACATCCGCAGAGCTGAGGCGACGTATGGACTTCGGACCTGACGGCAATTAAATCCTTCTGCCCTTGTTTGCACGGATTACGCAGGATAGTGTTCTAGCCGAAGCATCAGGGGAGAGACTAGCCGGCCCCCAGACCATATCTACAGCTAATCCCTTGCACAACCTACCACGCACTAGGCACATTGATTTGAAGTGAAAAAAATGATCTAGTATATCTGGCTCTTTGTTGTCTTGCCTATTGTTGTGCTAATTCCTGAATTTGCTAGTCCTCTGGCAAAACTCTCAGGCTTTCAGACAGTTTGTCAAGCCCGATGCCACAGGTTCATATCTGGATGGGTGACCAGTTTATCATACTTGGTTCAGACCTTCTTGCTACCAACATCTTTTACCCTTGAGTTTCTTTGCATTCACTGTTTGTAAACAGAACCTGGAAAACATTAGTGGCTGTATTAATACGAGGAAGGAAAGGCGAATGTTTTACCCGAAGCAGGACTACTGAAAACCCGTGCGGTACTGGTGTTGTACGAAGGGTATATAGCGCTATCCAACGAATAAATCCTTATCCAGTGGATAGGTCGATGCTTTTACTAACTAATAAATTAATCTAATCTAATCTATTAATCCACTGGATAAGATTTATCCGTCGGATAGCGCTATTCACCCGTCGTATAACCGGATCCTGATGTATCATGCAAATCGTGTGCGGTGTTTCCATGTCATCGCTAGGGACAAAATCATTTAGTTCTCTAAAGCTAAACCCGAGGGCTAAACATCCTTATAAATAATTATTTATATGCGAAACACCCTTCCGTGGTGGTTTCACTTAGACTCACTGATATCTTTCCTTTATAATGACCTTTCTTTTCGAATCCCTTTAATCGGATCAGTGTAGCTTAACCTTGGTATGCTCTCAAAATGATTGACGATCGAGCAGCTAGATAGCACAGACAATGTTGCGCCGAATTAGAAGTAATTGCTACTAAACATTATTCACGTTCTAAAACCCCGTTATCCTTTGTCGAATTTCTTTATCGTGTTACTTATTCTCGAACATTATCACTTCAGTATCATGTAAAAATACATCATCATCATAATTCCCATTACCATCAAAATCACACTATCATCATCATCTTCTTCATTTTGTACTATATCATCATCGTCACCACCACCATCTTCTCCACCACCATCATCATCTCCACCATGTTCATCACCACCACNCATCTATAATTTCCTAAGATATGAGGAAAAAACAAAACAGTAAACTTTTTGAACATGTTAAAAAAGAGCACCATGTTCAAATACATTACTTAGAAATAGGTAAACTTTTTGAACATGTCAAAAAGTTTACTATGTCTAAGTAAGAATTTTGAACATGTTCAAAAAACTTACCTACAAACTAGGTAAACTTTTTGAACTTAGGCAAGAATGCATATGGCCACCACCACCACCACCACCACCATCATCTTCATCATCACCACCACCACCATCATCATCATCATCGTCATCATCATCTCATCATCATCATCACCATCATCATCATCATCGCCATCATCATCATCATCACCACCATCATCATCTTCTTCATCATCACCACCACCACCATCATCATCGTCGTCATCATCATCAGTTATCGCTACTGTTATCTGTTCTCACCTTCCTTTCGTTGTGGTCAACCATTCTGTACCTGAAATCTCTCTTCGTTCCTATAGTATCCACATCAAGAAGAAGTTCACATACTTTGGTTTTTGATCGTCTACCGCCGTACTGATAGTTATAAACATTACAAAGATGGTTTCTATAGCAGAGATCGAGGCAGTGTAACTCTGAAACTACTTGGTGCGTGGATAAAACTGGACCAACTGCAAAAAGCTCGTCATGTTTATCGCTGTCTATTGCTAACTGTTCAACCAGGGAAATCTCTTTCTTGTTGCACACTGAAATATTGACATACCATAAAAATATTTCAATGTTTTAGCATTTTTAAAATTACCATCGGCGATGGATTGGTTTTAGTGTGGGGGTGCCTGAGGATCACGTCATTCACTCATATCCACCTGCGCGGAACATTTTTCTCTCTATTAAACAATGTACTCACAATTTTCAGCCGAAAGACCCAACCTTCGTTCTTGATTCATTTACTTCGGTGAACTTTTTGCTTCTTTTTTTTTTTTTTTTTTTTTTTTTTTTTTTTTTTTTTTTTTTTTTTTTTTTTGCATACGTTGTCCATTTATGTTCATAACGAGATACCTGTTACTATGAATCTTGCGTTCTGATTCGATGGGAGCGCGTGCTTTATGAGAGCACAAAGCACACGCGCGCACTTTCTATTTTGTCATTCGCATCCAAAATAACGGTTACTTTAATTTGTATTCTATAGTTAAAAACCTTGCTTGCTGTGCTGTGTGTAGTTATAAAGAACTTGGTTGGGAGTTGACATAACACTCTAGAAGTGTTGGGAAGTACGTAGTCCGCTACATGTCKTGCTTCTCCAAATACTGTGTTCTGTCGATGCTCGTATCCGCTTTGTATCCGATATTTCGATAACTTACGATCACTTTGACTGTAACATTGGCATGCTAGGGCAAGCACTCCCTAGATACATGGAAATACCGAGTTAACGTAGCCATTACGGCACTTTTTATAATTCCTTTTTACCTTGGTTTTCTTTGTAGTCCTTGTTAACGAAGCAGCTCAAAAACCCCACCGAAAAAGAGCAGCATTTTGGCGACATGGCTTCACAGGCTTTTCGATCACTGACCACTTCTCCATTGTGTCGACAAGGCGTTCCATTTAACACACTAGAACTGCGTTTACATTCTATAAAATATTTTCATATTTTTTTATATGTTCAAGTTACCAACCGCTACTTAACAAGGAAATTTTAAGTTTATTTCCCTACATAATGATAAATTAGTTAAATTAGTTAATTGTCGCCATAACGCTAAGTTCACAAAGTGAATTGTTTCCCCTCAATTTTTTCCCTGCTGTCTTGTCTGTGTCTGTCCCAGTCTCCTGCGCAGCCGCTATTRCAATTAACACGCTTGCTATTATTTTTGCCGGTGTTTTAGGATATCAAAGAAATCAATAAGGAATTTTTCGTCCCATGCATTAAAGTCTGAAGGAATAGGGATGCTATGACATGCCTGGCAGGCTAACCATAGATCAAATCAGAATACATCGATTAGAAATATCAAGAATAAAAAGAAATAATGGTAGAAAATATGTTTTCAACTACTATAGGTGTACGATTTGCTTTACGAATGGAAAACATTACTGCCGACAGTCAAGTGGATTCCCTTGAAAATGCCAATCAAAATGCAAGAAAATGAATGTCGTCCGATCGTACGAAGCCATATATCTCCCTTACGTTTAATTTCCCATTTATAGATCGAATCTTTTTATCATATTAAAATAGCAAACATTAATTACCCAGTCCTTCTGTCATCTTGGCCAATGTAAACATCATCATCAAACGAAGTGATATCAGAATCCAAATCTTGAACATTCTAAAAATCATAGTCTTGGATGCGTTTCAATGGCAATATCRCTGAGAAATATAATTTTACATTCACGCTTGCAAAAAGAGACAAAAAACAACAAACAAACAAAAAGGACATCAGCATTATAAAGTCAAGTCAAGTCCAACTGTCAACAACTCTATTTTCTTATTAGAAAAATTAAAATTTAGCAGTTCAAACATTAATTACGAAACGGTTTTTTGCGCTAATTCGGATTTAACTACTATCAACAAACRGACTACAATCCTACAAAATGAATTGTGGACGTGTTTCATGATCAGCACACGCAGTCCCGACCAAGAACAACCTATTTAWCATCACTGATTAATCTAGAGTCCAGCCCGTTTAGTGAACCTCTTACCTGACTGATTGTTTAGCCCTTCAGGTTGTGCAGAGGACTAAAGGAAACTCACTCTAATAGGTTCCCGTTTCAAAATGCTTAGCCTTTGTCTTGAGCAAGATCTAAAGAACAAACTGAACTGGAACGTACGTTTGCCTCCTTTATCAGCAAGATTTTATCAAAGATCTATAATTTTCTAATGAGATTGTAGAAATGGTTCGAATGTCCCAACGGTAAGTCAACAGTGTCGAATGTGTATTGAAAATAGACAGCGTTCATTGGTAGTTTGGATGGGTGTCCGTTTTCTGGTTGATCACTACAGAGCAGCTGATACTATAGCTACCATTATGCATGCGACATATCAGTTATCAACTTCAACGACAAAGTACCCCAACAGGTCTTTTGAGTGAGCATCAAGCAATCAACGACGACTTAGTGTCGGGGGAAAAATATATAATTTTGATTTTTTTTTTCCTTCAAAATACTCCATAGAGGTTTTCTGATAAACTCCGTGCGGAAAGGGAGGCTTAGGATGATCGAAAACTAGAATAATGAAAACATTTAATCAAATATTAAAATCTATTTATTTTCAACTTTTTCTCTTATTTGATAAAGCATTTCTATCCGTCTATTCCTTCCTTTATCGTCACTTATCGTACGTCTCCAATCTCCGTTGCAAATTGATTTTGCTGTTCTGCAAGCATCATCCCGGCGCGTGCGAACACTGCTTGAGAGTACGCTCGAGAGCACAATAAAAATTTTGCATTCTTTCGAGAAACCCAAAAAATTATTATTTCACAAATATCAATTGGTTTATTTTACAAATTCAAAACCTTTACAAGAATTCACTTATTCTTCTGACATCTTACTAAACAAATGCGCAAAGTTGCGTCCGCTATTTTATACTCCTGCATGCGCTCCAGAACCTCTTCACTATTAATATTTCTAATCTAAAGTAATAATCATTTACCCTTTGTGCGTCACCCCAAATCGCGCGGGTAAAGTTATTAATCTGGCCATTCTAGAAACAGACTTTGGCGGGGATCGAGGACGGGATCGTCCGCGGGCAAATGAGTTTCCCAAGTTTTTCCTTCCTGCTCAAACTTTGCATAGCGAAAAAAGACTATCATAGAATGGAATCGAAGTTTGACAAATAACTTACTTCTCTGTGGTCACCGGACTCACTGAGGAGTGAGATGATATCAAAGTGCAGCCTTTTCCTTGCCGAAAATTACTTGAGCCGGCGCAACTATGAAAAAACGTTTTCTAAAGCAACATTCTTATAACCTATTAATGGATATTGGGAATATTGATAAATACATTCAGACAATTTTTGTTTGATCATAAGCGACTCCTCGCTCCGATGAGGTATATTCCATCTCCTACAGTCTTGCACTCGTTCAATATTCAATCTTTTGTCTTGGTCGAATTCGCACTAGCTAACGTATATCAACTAGATAAATATTGCTGTCATCGGTTGAATAGATAAAAACCATTAATTCTTGTTTCCTCTGGTTTGCTCTTTTCAGACACGAATATCACAGGCTCAAATGTCATTTTTCATGGTTTGGCGGGATAATACGTCTGGTTCGTTCTGAACAAGRACATCCTTGAAGTAATCTCTGTGGAGAAAAGAGATAAGCAGAATATGAGTCACACTCTTCATTTTCCTACCGTATTCTGATAAATCGTACTAAAACCAWTAGTCAATAGCATAAAATCTATAATTGCGACAGGACTAGCGATGGTGAGGGGAGGGGTGGGGAAATGGTTAGTGCGCGTGTCTGGTTCCCGCCAAAATAGACCTCTTGCTTGGGTATAATTTTTTCCCATTACAGATCACGTGTCATTCTCTAGAGTGGTTGCGCACGAGAAGACACATGAAAATATGGGTCGAATATAAAATCTTATTCTCAAGAGAATGACAAGTGGTCTGAATCGGAAAGAAATTACGCCCAGGGGTCTACTAAGGTAGAACTTTTTTTGTTCATGTAGACCATCAAAAAAGCCATTCAGTCTCAATTACAAAAAAAATAAATTTAAAGAATCATGGATCGAATCTTAMATTTCAGAAGAAAGGGGTATTTACGGTGACTGACAGTTAGTCTATAACTGGGGATTATTATATTCCATTTATTTTTAATTACCCATTTCTAGATAGTAGTTCATTTTAAAGTGATGCTGACTTACTTTGCACTAATTTTCAAAATCTGATTACTAACGTTTTTGCTGAAACATTTTATAAACATTCTTCCCTTTAGATTCAATTTTGCGGATATAAATTCTAAACATTTCGAAAGTACAAAACATAAATTGTGGAACTGAAGTTGTCGCTTACATATATCGAGCTGCCTAAAGAACAAAAACCTTTTATTTAGACGGAGACAACTCATTATCTCGTAGGAAGGCGAAATCTGACATACAAGTCAAAGCAACTGGTGTTAATAATGTCAAACAAAACATTTCCCATTAAAAATGGCAAAACATGCCGGTGTAACATGTCAGTTTTCGGTTCTTATTTTCAAGTAATTAAAAGCTTTTATTTATCGAACCCAAAACCTGGAATAAGGAAACAATGAGCAAGCGAAACGCTTGGCAAAGTTTTTAATATATCGAAAATCTATGACGGGCTCTCGTTTTAAATCTTGCTCACTGATAGATAGATTCGAGGTTGGGTTTCCTGTGGTACTCACTTTCTGTACTTTTCCATAATGAAACTTTACATACGTCACACAATCATTCTTTTGTGTTTCGCCAATACTTCCAAGCAGTTGGCAAAGTCGTTCCTCTTCACAGAAGTGATAGTTAAAACCAAGACACTGTGGTTGTCGTCGGAGACACAAATCCTCACACTGTAGAAGGCTGACGACTGAATGGTAGGACAACACTTCTCCCACGTTGTAACCATGCATATTGTGTGGCTTTATATTTTTGGGTCGCGTTTTAAGACCTAGAATAATGAATTATTATGAGCAAGGAATGTTAAATTAAGTGGCGCTTTAGCCGCTTATCTTCAGTTCACCATTTTCGAGTTCTCCATATTATCGCTGTGTTCCTTGATTACAGACTGATCCTCAGGGTTATCCTCATATCAGTACCTAAATATTCACAAGAAAAGAATGCACAACTACTTCAACAAGACCGACAAACACTTCCACGGACCTTCACTGGAACACATGAATAAAGTGCACAAAATCGACGCTAACCCTGAGCAACAAAGAACACGAAACTGAAGTATTGCTTCATTCTCTCTGGAATGATTGGAAGCCACTTTTATTTCCTAAAAAGAACTCTACAAATTAAAAATAAAAATGTAACTCAGGATGATTTATGTAATAACCAAGAAATAAGATTCGAAATCCAAGTGAATGATCAAATCGAGAGTTAATTTCGGAGGAAAACCCTTTGGCCTTGAAGAAGAGGGAAGAACCAACATGCACCTGCCTTTTAGTCCAGGAGATATTTTTTGAAACGGATTTTATAGTGGAAGTGGAATAAGTATTCTTTAAGACTATGTACCATGTAGTCCAGAATTGTGGTAGGGAGGCGATTTGCCCAAAGTGCATGGTACTAATGGCACTAATGGCATGTTGCATGTGGGCCAAAGTTAGAACCTATGGGCATACCGCAGTGCTTCAGTGCGCGATGAGAGGCAGCGCGTACTGGTAACCCTTGCTTCTTAGCTTGTGTTACTCAATTACACAAAAGATAATTAAAGAAAGAAGGTAATGAATTGGTGCCATTTATTTTCAAATAGAAAGATCGCAAGACTCCAGCTCTAACTGTGATACAACCTTAACTCCCCCAGGAGTCAATTTGCCATGGACAGCCAAAAATTCTCCAAGAATGTCTTTCTTTTAAATTTTAATTTCATTGTAGAACACAAACAAATTGAAAATGTCAGTCRTGAAGCAGAAAAAATGATAATTGCTGTTTTCTTTCCACCGGAAAGCGTCTCTAAGGGTTGTCGAAAACATCAGTCACAGTTACTATATCTAAAGGCTTTTAAAAACCAGAAACGTTTATTTTAGTAAAAGGTAAGTTAACAGTTCAACTCTCTCTAGAATAAATACACATTGAGAATAGCCCATATGGCTAAAGGTGCCATTCCATCTTTCTCGTTTCTTTTTTTTTTTTGTCCAAAACGTGGGGCAAACATCATGCATTATATTAGTTTTGCGCTCTCCGAAGGAAGTAAATTAAGTTATGAATAACAACTTTGGAAGCCAAGTTTCAACAGCCCTTAGAATACACTTCCGAATAATAAAGTTGTTTTGTCTAAATATTTTCCTTTTAGGAATATATCAGTCCCTCAAGCAAAACATATTAATTGATTGGGGCTTCAAGGGAAACAAGTTCTCTTGCGAGTACTAAATAAAAAGATAATGCAACAGTGCAGTGTTCATCGGTGTGTGGCTCGCAGAATTAACCTCTATGATATAAACTAGTCCTTTCCATAACTTTTCATACTAACAGCAAGCTGTAAAGCACTCRTTGATTTCGTGTCTCTATTCATCATCTTTTTCTCGACTAAAGCTCTTTCGCTGGTCCTACCCATACCAGCACAAATAATGTCCTTTTTTGTTACCTACGTTGCGAACAACGCTCTGTCTTCTCAAACATAGTGGATAACTTAACTCTTCCTCAATTCATTTTAATATTGATATTCATGACTATATAGTAGTATATAATGATTGCAATTGCCTACCTTTGGAGTCAGCAAAGTTCGTACTGCCGAGTAAAGACAATGTGCACAGCAAGACACATTTTGTTTCGAAAACGCCTTGCACCTTCATTTTGAATTCTGAAAAAAATAAAAATGAATTTGACTTCATCAATTTAGCCGCGGGCGTATGATTGCTGCCAAGCTGTTCTAGAAGGAATGCTTATATAGATGTTTATAGGACAGCAAAGCGTCAGTGTTCAAATCAAGTGACAAATTTCTTCTGAACCGTGATACGGAATATCAATCAAGGTTATTGGATGATAACTAATGTTGCCAAAGTGCTTCCGAACTACTTGTGTACGGAAGAACTTCGCCAGTTTGAGTCTCCGCCGGCTCCCTTACAGTTTCTATACTATACAAGCCAAATTTTCGAATAGATTTTTTCAAGAGAGTTCATTTTCTCTTGCTTTTTTTTTATAAAAAACACATGTGCCCTGATTCAAATTATACTTAAATCATTTGGACATAAATATATAGGCAACTGTTAAACTGCTACTGATACATCCCAATCAACTGTGCCTTCATCAAAATCAGAGGCGGAAAATGTTTACCTTCCAAGAAGAGAACGGGTTGTTTTTTTTTTTTTTTTTTTTGATAGTTTTTGCTTCGTAGTAACAACCTGTCAGAGGAAGAAATATTTTAAATTAATAAAACTAGACCCTACAATACAGAACTAACAGTAAGCCGGAAAACTAAGACTTCAATTAATTGGTGTAATCAAACAACTTACATTACAAAAGAAAAAACGTTTTTAATGATTGACTTCCTGTAATGTTATCCTTTCATGCCTCCGGCAAATGATATGATTAATTATTTCCAAAAACTGGCCGGGAAAATCTCTAAGAACTAGTTTTCACGATATCCTTATTACTTAAAATATGCCAAGGAATTGATAATTGTTTGGTGGGAAATTTAAAGCAATTAAGCAAGTTTATGAAACTATTTTGTCACCATTTGAATTTCGCTTTTTAAGCGAGACAGTTCATCTTAACAACATTGACTTCATAACATTAAATATAACACTCAATATGTTCTTCGTTGTGAGGACTCGTTATACTTACCAAGCAGCAACTTTTTCGTTAGTTCTTTCTTGAGTTTAAAGTATTTTTGTCTGTGAGAATCTTTCAAAGATTAGCAGAAGAGACTTGGCCTTGAGTACATTTGCAAAGAGAGACGTGCTGCAATGAATGTAAAATGAGAAAGACTAGCGGCTCGAGATTTAGTTTATAAGCTGTCGAGCGACGTCGGTTTTGAACGTGTCAGATCGTAAACCTGTCATATCAAAAAATACACAAAAATCAACTTCATCTTGAGAGTTTCAAGTGTAAACTATGCATATTCCTTAATGTTACGTGCTAAATTTCATTTTTTGCTTGAGAAGTGCTAGTCTTATGATGTAAAATATATGAATTTAGCTATTCCGTCCGGTATCACTGTTTCGCATAAAACTGTTCACTACTTTTACCTTCGCTGCCTAAAAGAACGAGACTTCTTGTCAGCCCAACTGAGACGTGCTAAATTAATGATTCTTTTATCTATAAAGAATTTTCACTGCCCTTTAAACAGCGCATATTACGTCAACCAATGAAAAAATAATAAGGACGGCTCATTGGACTGAATTATCGCCTGGCAAATAACTTGTGTACAATATTATCAGATGGCGAACAGTTTGACTCAAAAACGAATCTTTATCGCCGGCAGCAAAAATGACAGGAACGTCAGCCGAGAAAACAGCAGATTTCGGATGATCAAAAGACCGGTTCAAAAGACTTCACAGTCGCTATATCGTCAAGCACGTACTACACGAGTAGACGAAGCAGTGTCATGCATGGTAAGGAAGCCTTAGATTCTGGGAGATGTCAGGAGCAACAGTTCCTATRCATTCTGTCTATAAGACACTAAGCTTGATTATGAGATGATAGAGGAAGATGATGAAGAGTAGTAGTAGATTAGGGATGTTGTCAGGGAAGGAAAAATGTCCCCGAGCTGTGAGAAGCCGAGTTATATATGTCAGTCTTCCTATACTCGAACATTTAGGTGATGTTCCTAGAATACTCTTCTGTTAAGGAAAAAATTATAGGAAGTTAAAAGGAAGAGAAGAGAAAGGAGGAAAAAGAAAAGAAAAAAAAGGCCAACTGTTCTGAAATAGTGACGTCACTGCAAGAAGCCAGCAAAGATTAATGACCATCGGAACCATCAAAATAAAAATAAAAATAAAAATACAAAATGCAAAACTCATTCATTCTTGTGTTATTGCTATCAAGCGCTGATTATAAATGCTTTTTTTTTCATTTAGTGGTCTGGGAATCAATAATAAGGAGTTTTGCAAATGTTCTCGATTCTGATTGGCTACATTTTTCTTTAGTTCGGCTGGTCAATAATGCTGGACTTGTTTAAGCACCCCACGTACTGAATATGGGAGCAAGTGCTTTCGGAACACACAGCACGCGCTCGCAATTTTTTTTTTGTCATTCGTATCCAAAATAACGGTTAAATGTGTATTTTACCTGTGCTTCTCTTAACACTTCTCCTGTGTTCTGCCCACAGCACAAGCGCGTTTTCTATTTCTTGAATCATATGCGGGTCGAGAACGGTGTTACTGGACGGAGTACGGATAAAAAGTTGTTTTATTTGTTAATTATTATTTCATTCTCAACCTTAGTGACATCTATACAAAAGACTTATCAAAACCAAATAAAACGTAGTCAATAAAACGAGACTCATTGTTTATATTAGGTTTACAAGGTAAAGTATTTATGGGTTACCTGTGTACTTGATGGTCACTAGTAGACTAAGTAGTACTAGTTCTGTCCCGCGTCTCTAAATTTGAACATATTTCAAATAATAACAAAAAAAATCCCCTTTATAGCCACAGAACCTCACAATGACAGCTTCTATCACCCTATCAAGACATTTTCTTCGTGTTAGGGGTGTTTTTAGACCGTCTATTGCTCGATGTCGTCTTCACACTTCAAGATTACTTTCAGCTGGTTTTGCTAAGGAATTGTTTCTTGGACGATTTAACAAGGTATTTGTTTCTAGTTAAATCCTCCTTTCTTTCCTCTTTCTTTTAACGGGAATTAGGATTTATTATTAACTAAWTCTAATAGCTAAACCACATCATATACACGGTCATATATATCATATACGCGGTCCACATATTCTCATCTTCACATCATATACACATGTTTACTAGCACTGACTTGCTTTGAAGATCATACTTGCTGGTTTTGAATAAGAATTTTTTATTCTTTGAATTTAAAATTCTTTTAGGGTATTTTTCAAATATAATTAATGTCTGATAATTAAAATTAGATCAAGTAAAAAAATAAATATAGTTTTATCATCCTGCTTTTCCTTTCCCATAATCTATTCTTTYATTTTTCCATTTGCAGGAGAAAGTGTTCCCATATCCTGAGGCATTGGATCAAGAGCAGCGTAACATGCTCAACATGTTGGTTGAACCTGTCACAAAGTATTTTGAGGAAAAAGGTGARTCTGGTCATTATAGAACCTTAAAAGACTTTCAAATATCTTATCTACCGTGAAAAATCAAATGCATGGGGTCAGATCAGGGCACAGCTAACTCACAGATTGAATAGTCCCCTTCACGGTTCCCTGTGCCATCTTGAAAGGTAGCTGTGCCTTTGCATCGAAGCAAGACAAACAGTGAGCTTGAAATGATAGAGACATGTGAATAATTGTCCAAGGTGTTAAAAAAAGGTCTCTATCATTGCAAGCTCACTGTTTGACTCGCTTTGATGCAAAGGCATGGCTACCTTTCAAGACGGCACAGGGAACTGTGAAGGGGACTATTGGATTTTAACTTGGGCTAGAGGTTAAAAATATACCAAAAACTAAATAAAGAAACATAGTATCACCAATAATGGATATCAGTTATATCATTATTTGAGACAATTATCAGGGTAAGGATGTCACAAGTTTTTAGTCTAATATATTCATTTGTTTGGTTGCATGGTTTAAGAACCTTAGATCAAACAAGTGCTTAATTGTTTCAGGGTATCAAAATGAATAAGATCTGAAAAATCTGATCCTCGCATTCATTGTTTATCTACTGCAGTTGATTCTGTAAAAATTGATCAAGAAGCGAAGATCCCAGAAGATGTCATGAGTGGCTTGAAGGAGTTGGGTTTATTTGGTCTTCAGATTCCAGAGGAGTATGGTAGGTTTTTTAGTTTATTTACTAGCATTTTTCACTTCATGGGCTTCCTGTCTTATCCACAGGTATCCCAAGCCATTTTCATGAGGTATCATTTTCGTGAAAGAATTGAAGATAGCAATTGGTCTAAGTATTGCTTGTATTCCAGGTGGACTTGGCCTACTGAACACAAGTTATGCACGTGTTGCTGAAGCATTTGCAGTTGATGCAAGTATTGCTGTAACATTAATGGCTCATCAGTCTATTGGACTCAAGGTAAACTAGATATTACAGGCTATCCATTTATAAGTCTTTTCTCTAGATTCTTTGATAAGTTGACTC